CTCTTTTTTTAATGGTTGCTGTGGCGGAAGCTTCTTCATAATACTTTAAAAGCTCGAGTGATTTTGTTATTTATGCAGATACTCATGCTTTGATGTGGCCTTAGGTTCATGTGAAATGGATTTTGGATACTGACATTTTCAATGAATGGATGAATGAAGAAGATTATGAAGTGGATGAGAACAGGAAGCCAGTGAGTTTTCGTCAGCGAATTTCAACAAAGAATGAAGAGGTATTTCATTTGATGACATTTCTCACCCACTAGGTGTCTTCCTATGAAATCATCACTGATAAACTCACATATACACCAGCTTTTATCAGCCATTGGATACATGGATAAGTTCAGGAGTGGCCATAACAAACAACCACGTCCCAAGGTGGTGGCTGCCTACCCCCAGTAGGTGGAAATTTTAAAGAATTTTTAGGATTTAAAGTAGCTTATGAACTGTAGCAGTACCACAGTTGATTGGTTGGTTGGTTGTCTTGTTGTCTTTTTGAGACAAGGTCTCCCTATGCAGTTTATGTTGGCCTTGAGTTCACTTGTAGCCCAAGATAGTCTCAAACTTGAAACAATCATCCTGCCTCAGCCTCCACAAAGAGCCATGCTAAGCTGATTTTATTTACTAGATCTGTATTTTCATTGTGTATTCTAAGTATCTTCATAGCATAGTATAATTCTCCTGAGTTTTCCTTGGAAAAATAATTTACTGTCTTTTAATCTTTTTGTACTAACAGCTCCTTGTAGCTTCTTGTGTGTTAACAAAATGCAGCATTAAAGGTCTCAGGTTTAAAAGTTGAGTCCTTTCTGAGTGTTGGATACTTGACATTTAATCCTCTTAAGAAGTCTTAGAGCTGGGGCTGGTGGAGTATGCCTGTAGTCCCAGTGCTTAGGAGGCAGAGGCAGGAGGAACACCATGCATTTAGGCCACCCTGGACTACATAGTTTAAGGCCAGCCTCTGCTGCATAATGAATTTATGTCTGTCTCAGACAAATTTAAAATAATACCTAAGCAGTTAAATATTTGCCCATGTTTTCTCACACATTAAATAACAAACTGTAACTTAGGTGTGTTTTTTTGTTTGTTTGTGGTTTTTTTTGTTTTTGTTTTTGTTTTTGTTGTTGTTTTAACCAGGCATTGAAATCAGGACTTCACACTAGCCAGGCAGGCATTGTGTCTGTGATCTAGATCCCCATCCCCTTAAGTGTGTCATTGGATAAAGCTTGTTGATACTGGGTTTGGGACAGTCCAGTGGAGACCTGTCATTATGAATTGTCCCTGGGAATACTTAAATTTATTTTGTTTTTCATTTTATATTTTAGTTTTTTAAAATCTTTTTGATATGGTCTTTCTATGTAGTTCAAGCTGGCCTTGAGTTCACTTTGTAGCTCAGCCTGGTCTCAAACTCGCAATGATCCTCCTGCCCAGCCTCCTGATTACAACCTGCTAGAATTACAAGGGTGTGCCACCATGCCCAGCTATATTTTATTCTTTTGAAAAATTATTGACGCAGGTTATTTTTGTCTATTAATCTGAAAAACACAGATTTCACAGTTGCTGTTGGTAACTGGTACACATACAAAACAATTTTTTTTTTTACTTTGCATTATAGATAAGCCTGTGTTCCCCTGGCCTTTGTGTATGGGGGCGGTGCTGGGGTGGAACCCTGCATGTCATAGGTGCTATTCCATTGCTCTATCGCTGAGCTACCTTCGTAGCCAGAGAGGTTTCTGTTCTGGTACATTTCCACAGGATCATTCAGCTGTTTTTTAATTCCTTGAATGTTTCCCTATCTGGAAGAGCCAGATGTGAAGACTAACAGCTCTATACTGTGCAAGGTCTGGGCGTCCTTAATGATGGCATAGATTGTCCCTGTGGGATCCTGCTGAGAATTCCCTTGATGATGTGTCACCTGGAAGGGGCACAGAAGTCTCTTCTTGCTTAGTGGTCTTGTGTGCTTAGTTTTGTGCCTTTCATTTGGTCTTAACCAAGTAGGTTTGGGCACATGTTTGTGGAACCTGAGGTAGTAGAAAATTTGACCGGTACTTATTTCTGTTTACTTCTTCCCAGCCAGTCAGAAGTCCAGAGAGAAGAGATCGAAAAACATCAGCTAATGCTCGAAAGAGGAAGCATTCGCCTTCTCCTCCCCCGCCCACACCCGCAGAATCACGGAAGAAGAGTGGCAAAAAGGGGTAAGAACTATAGCACGACTCAGAAGGCAGCAAAGCCTTCTAGGGACTTTAAGACTTTAGCATTTGCTTGGGAAGTTTTGCTGGTTTGTAAGTCAGACCTTGACTTGCTGGGGATGTCTTTTAATTTTACAACTTGTATTTCTAGAATGTTTTCTTCTCAGCATTTTATGTTGTATTTATTCAGTATAGGTACTGCACACTAACCAGCTGCCCCAGTGGAGCTCGTTTTTTGGGGGTGGGTGGGTAATGGGACTCTAACCTAGGACTTTACACTTGCAAGGCAGGCACTTTTACCACTGATCTATATCCACAGCCTTTTGTTATATTTATCCAAGGGCACCTTGAATTTTAATTTTTTTTTCCCTGTATTTTAGGGAAGGGTATACAGGATGTTCAGGGTCTCACTACTAGCTCAGACTCTAGTGATTCACTTGTCTACAGCCTCCCAAGAGCTGGAATTACAGGCATGTGCCACCATGCCTAGTCTCAATTGCCCCTGGGGACAGGGCTAGCATGGCAGGCCTGGGGATCGAGCCCCTGGCCCCTGTGCCTGCTTGCAGGCGCTTTAATCCACTGAGCTGTTTGGCCAGCCCTATGAATATTATTTTTTGTGTAGGTCAGTGTGTATTGAGAAATTCATGAAAAGTTTCAGAAATTATATTCACTAGTAAAAGTGTCTCTGTGGTGTTCAGTTTGATCAGACTGACTCATAGTAGATATGGTAGCTATTTCATGTTCTGCACACAGTGATGGCCTAGTCTTTGTTCCGACCAGTGTGCTTGCGGCTTCATGGGCCTTGCCAGACTGAGAATTGTGGTTTCTCCTCAAGGCGTTACAGTAGGACTTAAATGCAACTTACTAAAATGCCTGTACACATGCCTCATCTGGAGTGAATAAATATCACTTGTTATGCTAGATTGTACTTAATAATTTATTGTTGTATATTAAACAGATATTTGAAAATTTCAGATTTGTCTGGCTCAAAAACTTTTTATAGAATTTTGCAGAGGTTACAGTTTTATTTTAGAAAATGGGAGTTTGCCAGAGTTGGTTGTTTTTCTTTGAGCTTGTATTTTTATGAGAGTAAATTTCATTTCTGGCTGGCTGGCTGGAACCATAAAGATCTACTTGGCACCTTATATCCAATTAGCTTCATTGTACATGTTTTTCTTTTTAGCAAGTTGTCATTGCTTTCTGTTGAACATGTCTTGAATCATGTTAGTCCCCAAAGGGTAAGGTTATCAGAAACATTCTTTTTATATTTTTTTCATCTTTTGTGGCATGGTGAGGGAGTGCACCTCAAAGCTGTATGTGTGATATGTGAGCACTCTACCACTGAGCTATTTCCCTGCTCCCAGAAACATGCTTAATCATGTGTGCAAACCTTTAGGGGAATGTAGAAAAACAACCGAAGGGGCCAGGGAGACGGCTCAGTAGAATAAGCGCTTGTCTGGCAAGCTCAAGGGCCTGAGTTCAATCTCTGGTTCTGTAAAAAAAAAGAAATGCTTAGTTTCACATTCTTAAAGAACCAGTCATAATCATAAATGAGATTTTGTTATTTTTGTTAAACTATGTGTATTGTGACACAAAACTCAGAACCTTAAAAATGGCCTTTTGTCTGTTAATGTGGGTAATCTTATTTCTTAAATTTCTAATCTGACTGTGACATTCAGATTTCAGAACTCCCTGAGATCTTTGTGAGGAAAGCCTTCACAACTTAGAAGCTGACCTGACGCCAGCATAGTTCATGGTTGTTGAACAGAGATGTCATATCCAGGAGACTCTCCAGGGTGGCTTTATTTGTTACCCTGAGTGTTAAGCCTCCTGCATTGAGTTTTCTAATGTTAAGTTTTTCTTGAGGGATGGGGAGAACTCAGAGATAGATATGTACTTAGGATGCTTGTGGTCCTGGATTAATTCTCAACACCACAAATAAACATTTTCTTTCCTTGAGGTTATTAGGTTTCTGTACATGGCACATCTTAGAGGCCTACCTCCTTGTCCCCTTCTACCATCCTTTGTTATTCTCTTTTTCTGATGCTAGGAATCAAACTCAGGGCCTTCAGTTTGCCCAGTATGTGCTTTGCCACTGAGCTACATCCCCACCCCATTCTCCTTGTACTTTGCCTCACTCAAATGAGAGATACCATGCAGTATTTAAGCTTATATGTATGGTTTATTTGAAAAGACATTTTTCTTAGCGTGCCGTATTTAACATGAACATAGGGAAATTTGTTTTCTTAACTTTTGTTTTATTCACCTTCTCTGCATCCTTTTTCCTCTTTTAAAATATTTTACTTCCCTGATACCTTTAGGTTTTATGGGCTCTTAAAAATCATCCTATAACATGTATTTTGAAAAAAATTTTACTTTACGTATTTTACCCTTAACCATAGCAGTTTGTTGTGGCTTAAAGAGATCTCTGAGTATCTCTGTGTAGTGTGGGGATCAGCTCGCTTAGCATGCTGTCTGTAAGCTATTCCCATTTTGATTATCAGTGTGCTGGAGACTACTATCTTTTGCTTTGGTGGGTTTTTTTTTTTTTTTGTCTTTTTAAAACCAGGTTTCACTGTGTAGCTCAGGCTGGCCTTGAACTCACTATGTAGCTCATTCTGACCTTGAACTCACAGTGATCCTCTTGCCTCTACCTCCTGAGTGCTGAGATTTCAGACATGCACCACTGTGTCTAGCAGTTACTGTTATGACCAAATAACTTCTTTGCTTATGCCTTACATACAGTGCCCCCTCCCACATAGTAGGCAGGCCCTCTGCTACTGAGCTCCCTGGTTCTGTTGGGGCAGTGTCTTGCATAATTGCTCAGTTTGACCTTGAATTTGGAATTTTCTTACCTCAGCCTCTGAGGCAGTAGGATTACAGGTGTATATCACCTTGCCAGTGTTAGCTAGCCTTTGTTATTTTTACTGACACATTGTCTAATTACTTGTAAATTCTTTCTCATTTGCAAATGTTCAGCATACCTGTCACTTTCAGTCTTTCATAGTTCTTTCTTTGTGATGTAATTTTTTAAACTTTCATGCATTTCTTTACATTTTCCAGTACTCAAATGCTTCTATTGTATTCCTTTATATTGTTACACATCACATTATGTGAGATAAGTAACAATGTCGTGTTTCCTTTATTCTGCAAAATACCTCATTTCCCATTTTTGTTGGGTCCTTCAAGAAGTATTAATTTTAAAAATAATGATTTTAATTATCAGAGAAAAGAAAATACCATATTTAGAAAAGAGTAAGGACTACCAATTTTAGTTTGCAATTTTGATACTTGCATGATAAAAAGAAGCAAGAAAATACAGTTGTCCATGTCTCTCTGAGACTGTACCATATCTCCTTTTTTATTACTCTTTTTGAGACAGTTTCATCATGCAGTTCAGGCTGACCTTGAACTCCCTTTGTAGTGCAGGCTCATCTCCATCTCACAATAGTTGTCCTGTTCCTGCCTCGGCCCCCCAAGTGCTGGGATGGGATTACAGGCTTGTGTTACTTTGCCCAGCTTATGTGCCATATCACCTTAATAGGATGAGGGTGAGAGAGAAAGAGAGAGAGAGAGTGTGTGTGTCTCAGCCCCAGTGGCATGTGGTGCTAGGGATTGAACTGTGGTCCTTGCGTGCTTGCCTAAGCAGATGCTTTGGACTGCTGACCTGTCACACTGGCTCCCGTAGGTGTTCTTTATTAGCTTATTTTAAGCTCCTTCCAACTGTGTAATTGAATATTTGGGTTTTTTTGTTTTTAAACGACAGTCTGGCTTTATAGTTTAGGTTGGCCTCGACTGACTGCATAGTCCACGTTGGCTGATACTCCTGCCTCAGTGTCCTAAGTGTTGGGATTACAGGTTTACACCACATGCCCAGCTCTTTTTTTTTGAGA